TCCCGCAGCCCCTCAACCACCATTCTACTTTCTGTTTTCAATAGTTAGATTACCTCATATCAGTAGAATGAGGGATGTACTTGTCCTTTATATATATATATATATATATGTGTGTGTGTGTGTTTACTGATATTTAGAGAGAGAAGGAGGGAGAGAGAGAGAGAAAAATCGATCAGCTGCCTTTTACATGCCCCCTACCGGGGATCTCTTCGAAACCTTGACATGTGCCCTGTCGGGGAATCCAACCAGGACTTCTCTCAGTCCATGGGATGACACTCAATCCACTGAGCCATACCAGCCAGGCTGTACTTGTCTTTTTGTGACTGGCTTATTTCATGCAGCATCATGTTCTCAAGGTTCATCCTAATTGTCAAACGTGCAGATTTTCCTTCTTTTTAAAGGCTGTATAGTATTCCATTTGAAGTATATGCCACATTTTCTTTATCCACTCATCTGTGGATGGAGATGGACATTCAGGTTGTTTCCACATCTTTGCTACTATGAATAGTGCTGCAGTGAACACAGGAATGCTGATATTTGAGTATTGGTTGGATTCTTTTGGATAGATACCCAGAGGAGGAATTGCTGTGTCCTATGGTAGTTCCAGTTTTAATTTTTTGAGGTACATCCACACTGGTTTCCACAGTAGCTGCACCAATTCACATTTTTACGGAGAGTGACGGAGGTTTCCTCACCAATGCTTCTTGTTTCCTGGGTTTTGTTGCTGTTTTTTGTTGTTGTTTTTTCTTTATTGATTTTTTAGAGAGAGAGGAAGGGAAAGGGAGATAGAGATGGACACATGGATGAGAGAGAACATCGACTGACCACTTGCATGCCCCCCACTGAGATGGGGCCCACAACCTGGGCATGTGCTCTGACCCGGAATCAACCAGCGACCTCTTGGTGCATGGGTCCAGGCACAGCCACTGAGCCCCACGGCCGGGCTGCCGTGTTTTTATAACAGTCATCTCAACTGTGTGAAATGACATTTCTTTGGGGTTTTGATTTGCATTTCCTGACGATTTACGAGGTTGAGCATGTTTTCATAAGCTTGTTGGCCATTTCTCTAGCTAAGTCTATTGCCCATTTTTTAATTGGGTTATTTGCTTTCGTTGAGTTACTGGAGTTCTTTACATAGTATTCCCCCCCCCCTTTATTTTAATTATAAAAAATGATGGAAACTGTTGCATAAACATGAGTGAGCTAAAAAAAAGTATTACCGGGGTACGTTTGAGTTACCAGAGAAACAGAAACGAAATTTGGTGATGAGATTCATCATCTTTTCACTTTGATTTGTACTCCTGCTGTACGATAAATGTAACGAACCCTTACCAAACACGTGGTTGGAAAGTACTTTCCCCATACCCGCGGCCGCCTTTTGACTCCGCGCCTGCCCTTCCTGCGCCGCGGCTCGTCGCTCCCTCTTCCTGCTACTGCGCAAGTTGGGAGGCGGCGCCGCGCGGCATTCTGGGGGTTGTAGTCCAGAACCAAGGGGGATGACCTTGGAGGATTTCTTTCCGAACGGCCCTGGTTGAAATGGGATTTCTATTGGGCGGGGCTGGAATGAACCACTGCCCGGTCCTCATTAGCAGAGGCAGACAGGTGTGGTAGGTATGAATACAGTTCCCTTCAAAGGGCTTGGACAGCTCCGGGATCCAGGCTCTGTGGTAGGCCCACCTGCTGCCTCAGCCTCCGACGCAGACCGCGCCCTCCCGCCTTTTCCCCGGCCCCGCCCCTCGGCGCTCGTGGGTGGGGCTTCCCGCGGGGGCGGGGCTCGCGTCCGGGCCTCTTCGCGGGCTTGGCTGCTTAGCCCCCAGCGACCCAGCGATCTGCTCTCTTCCGCCGGGGAGGCGCACGGGGCTCTGTCCATGGACCGGGCGGCCGTGGCGCGGATGGGAGCGGTGGCGAGCGCCAGCGTGTGCGCCCTGGTGGCGGGGGTGGTGCTGGCCCAGTACATATTCACCTTGAAGAGGAAGACGGGGCGCAAGACCAAGATCATCGAGATGGTGAGTGCGCGGTGCGCGGACGCGGAGGGCGTGAGGACCCGCGGGCGCTCAGCCGCTGGGATGCTCGGGGCGCCCGGGGCTCCCGTTTGGACCCTCACGACGGCGCTCCGGGCTTTGTTGTGTCTCCTTTGCAAGCAGAAGGAGGTGATAAGGAAAGTGAGCAGGTGATAAGGAAAGAGGCGACCCCTCGCAGAGAGAAACCGACGTCTGGACAGGTTTCTCCCTCCTTCCCGCACACCCTGCAGACCCTGGCAGCCCCGCCGCCTCTAACAGCGGGCTTGTTCCTTAGATCGTGACTAGGGGTGACCGCTCAGCGGCCACTATCCTGTTAGAGCTCCGGATTGTTTATTTTGTACTTGAATATTATTTCCTCTGGTCTTAAACCACCAGAAAGTATCTTGGTGTTCATTTTTTTCTCCAAACCTCGTGCATAACATTTTAGGTATCTATTTACAATTTTATTGTCATACAGTGTCTCAGGTATCTTATTTGAGGTATATTATAAGCCGTGTTTGCTCCAAAGTCGGAGTTTTTTTTTCTTTCTTTTTTTTTTTATTTTTTTATTTTTGGTACATGCCCCTAGCGGGAACCGAACCCAGGACTCTCTGGTCCACAGGCCAACGCTCCAACCGCTGAGCCAAACTGGCCAGGACTTTTCTTTCTTTAATTAGAGTTCATTCATCAAGACAGGTTTCTAGCGCGTTGCGTTCTGATGTATTTACTGGAGTGTATACCCCAGGTATACTCCCGATCATATGCTACACACATGAAGCATCTGGGCTCAAATGTTTATGACAAATCAGTGGGCAGTCTAGACTCGACTAAGTACTATCATTTTAGGTTCATGTACTAAGACTGTTTCAGCTTCTGTGATATGTTCTGATGGAGCAAAGAAACTATTTGGTGGTTATTGGGCCCAGGTTGAATCCAGAAAATTTTTTCTTTTTTTTTTTTTTATCCTCACTTGGGGACATTTTTACATTTATCTTCAGATAAAGCGGGAGGAAGAGAGAAACATCAATGTGAGAGATACATCAAGTGGTTGCCACCCACACGACCCCAACCGGCCGGGAGCAAACTGCAACCTAGGGACGTGCCCTTACTACTGGGAACCTAACCAGTCCGCAAGCCCATGCGCTAACTGCGGAGCCAAAACGGCCAGGGCAGAAATATTTTTCATTACTAACAGTAGAAAAAGTGCCCTGCCAGGCCAGTGTGGCTCAGTGGTTGAGCATCGACCCATGCACCAATAGGTTGCTGGTTCGATACCTGGTCAGGGCACATGCCCAGGTTGTGGGCCGGATCCCCAGTCGGGGGCGTGGAAGAGGTGGCCGGTCAGTGTTCTCTCTCATCCATGTTTCCATCTGTCTCTCCCTCTCCCTTTCTCTCTCTCTAAAGTCAATAAAGAAAAAATAAAATAAAATGTTAAGTAAGTTAACTCCCACATGTCTAATATGCCAATAATATTTCTAGGTTTTGTTTATTGCTGGAATTAAACTATTCTTGTGTTATTACTTCTTTTCTCTACTTGTATACCCACAGCAACAAGTTTTTAGTTCAGACATTTCATTTTGTTTACAGTGCTGTCCTGTTTAGAGAACTTTGGTGGCTTCCTTTGGTCCAAAACCCAAAAATGTATTCAGGAATATCTTTATATGCAAAAATTAATTTTGTTAAAAAAATGTATAATACACTTATGGAAAGAACTGAATGCCACGCCATCCTCTGTTTATTGATACTGTGGGTTTGGTTTGTTCCTTACATTGCTTCTCCTCTAAACCAAAAGAGCTAAATGTGAATGCTCTTGCAAAATTCCACAGTGATATCATTATGAACAGTTTGCCATCTTTTTGAAAAATAATGAAGGCCCATTAGGCAGACCAGCTTTACTTATTTGTACTATAGAAATCAGTCCATCTTTACATATACATATGTATACATACTGTTATATTCAAATAGTAATATATGGGCAGACTGCTAGTAGCTATTAAAAGGAAAAAAGTCAAGCCCTGACTGGTTTTGGTCAGTGGTTAGAGCATTGGCCCACGGACCAAAGAGTCTTGGGTTCAATTCTGGCCAAGGGCATGTACCTGGGTTGCTGTTTGTTTCTGGCCCTGGTGTGGGAGGCAACCAGTCTCTCTCATGTTGATGTTTCTCTCTTCATTCCTCCCTTCCTCCCACTCTATCTGAAGATAAATGAAAAATATTCTCAGGTGAAGATTTAAAAAAAAAAAGAAGTAATTAGTCATCAGGACAGCACAGATAACTCCTATTTTCTGGATAAGAAGCAGTCACTTTTTTGTTTTTATCCTCACCCAAGGACATTTTTTCATATTTTGTTCAGATAGAGTGGGAGGGAGGGAGAGAGAGAGAGAGAAAAAGAGAGAAACATCGACGTGAAAGGGACACATCGAGCGGTTGCTACCTTCACGACCAACCAGGGCCAGGTATAAACTGCAACCAAGGTACGTGCCCTTGGCGGGAACCAAACCTGGGTCTCTCTGGACTGCAGGCCGACGCTCTAACCGCTGAGCCAAACCGGCCAGGGCAAGAAGCAGTCACTTTTAAGAGGAAATTATTTCAAAGTAAAAACATTTATTTTAAATAAAACATTTACTTTGTGTGGGTGTGGTGTGTTCATACACACATGCTGTTTGTAAGAACTCTATTTCTGAATTCTGGTGGTAGAATTCTTGCAAGGGTTTTTAACAGTCATTTTTGTGATGAATGAATGACATCTTTCCTGTCCTACACTCTTCAGAGAGCTGCATTTTCCTACAGCTTCAAGAATCTCACTTTCCACCACTCTGTTTAGTTATTATTCTTGTTAGATAGGTTATACAAAAGTGTGGATTTTGTTAAATTTTGCATTTGGCTACCTAAATCTACTTTGATCTCTCAGTAAAATAACTTAAAATTTGGTGTTCCATTGTATTTATTCCAGATACTAATATGGAAAATTTAGTGTCATATAGGACAGAAAATGTAATCTCATCTTCAGGCAGGATAAGCCTTGCCTGCTCCTCATTCTGGAGGGCAGATTGGAACATGATGATTGGGGGTCACATGATTAGTGATTGAATCTGCATTATCAGGATTTACAACACCCTGATTGCTCTTATCAGATTTTTAAAAATGTAATGTCTTTAATGTAGCAATAGCAAATTTACCAACTAGCTTTTCCTGTTATTTAAAATTCCATTTGCTTTTCAAGCTGTTTTAGAAAGCTGAGGTTTTTTGTTTTTTTTTTTTAAATTCAAAGTGTTAAAAGAAAACTCTAAAACTGACTTTTAAATTTAAGGCTCATCTATCACCTCTTGGCCTTTTGGCTAAAATCAAGCATAGATGTCTGTTCTTATTGTTGTTGTTTTTTATTTTTTATTTATTTCTTTTAGAGAGAGAGAAAGGGAGAAGGAGAGAGAGATAGAAACATAGATGAGAGAGAACATGGACTGGCTACCTCCTGCATGCCCCCTACTGGGGACCTGGCCCACAACCTGGGCATGTGCCCTGACCGGAAATCAAACCAGTGACCTCTTGGTGCATGAGTCGACACTCAACCACTGAGCCACACCAGCCGGCTCGTTGTTTTTAAAAATATATATATGTTATATTTGTCAGAGAGAGTGAGAAACATCTATTTGTTGTTCCACTTATTTATGCATTCATTGGCTAACGCTTGTATGTGCTCTGACGGGGGATCAAACCTGCAACATTGGTGTATGGGGATGATGCTCTAACTTACTGAGCTACCAGGCAGGGCTGTTCTTGTCGTTTTAACATCTATCCAAGGACAACATATTAAGTGGATTTTTGGAGCAGGGAGGTGGAATAGGAGCTTGCTCTGGCCACGCCGCACGTTGACCTACAGTACTTCAGGAATGGGGCACCAAAAGAAAAAAACACTTTTAAGGCCCATCCAGATATCTCATTCTGTTTGCTGTTAAAGTAAGTTGGATACAGACCTTTCTCTGTAAGAGTTTAAAAGCTAAAATATGAGGGATCGCAAACTAAATCACATTCAAGGGAAAAAATGGCTTCCTTTGATAGACTATCCAGTAAACAGAAAGAGCTAGCTGATGAGAACAAACATTTCCAGCCTCACATATTCTCTGAGGGAAATGGAATTATAATCTATAAAGAAGAGAGATAAAAGGTTTTATTATCAAAAACTAGAGTTAAATTAGATGACCTCTAAGAGCTCTTCTTTGTGATTCCCATGTTGAATAGACATGATGCAAGGGATGTAAATTAAATACAACTTGATTTTCTCTCTAGTGGTCCTTTTAAAATTTGTTCAGTGTTTCTGCCTCCTGGTGAAAACTGATAGGCCCATGACTTTTTTTTATCACTCTCAGGTAAATGACAGTATTTTCATATCACAAGAAGTCAGTCTCATTTCTGCCAATAAATGTGTTCAGTCTTATCTATTATTCATGATTTTACTATTTATGAATTTTCAGGTGAGACTTCTAGGTGGACATTACTAGTGCTCACAGTATTCTCAGTTGGTCTCTCCTTCTTGCGGTTGGGCAAGCTTTCACCACTCGGGCCAATAAACTGTCCGGAGATAAAATGGTCACTCTGGGCCAGTGGTGACACACAGGTGCCCCATTATCCATATTCTCTCCTCCTGCTGGGCCAACCCCGAAGCATCACGTTGAGATGGAGATGACACAGTGTCAAAGCAGCCTGGAATATCATGTCATTACATGGAGGACAGCTGCCCGGGAGGCATCTGGACCCATGCTGGACTTTGTGCGAATGAAAAATAAACTTTTTTGTTGTTAAGGAACTGAGATTTTTGTGTTACTACACCGTGATCTATCCTGACTAATACAGACTTTTCCATCACCCCCAAGCTATGGCTTACTGCTTCTTTCCGCCCTAGTTAATGGTGGCCCTTAATCTAGGATAGGAGAGAAGGTCATAATCAGTTCCCTCCAGCCTTTGCTTCAGATGTTTGCATCGGAGGGTAGGAGGAATGGGGCAGCATTTAGGAAGGAAAGAAAGGAAAGTTCTCCTTTGACTGGGTAGGTTTGTGTTCTCTGGGACTGCAAGATATTTGCCCTTTTTTTTTTAATCCTCACTGGAGGATATGTTTTAAGTGATCTGCTTTTGCTGTGGAAGTCCCTCCTCTCGGGTGGCTCTTTGGGGCTGAACATAAATAGGTTCCTGGCTGGTTCTCTCTTGTGTGGCCCCGACCAGTCTGTAGAGAACATTCACTCACCTCTAGCTCTGACAAACTCTAGGAACATGGGCCCATTACGACAGAACCACACCCGCCAGGGCTTCCTTCACTTTTTTCACTCTTTTTTATTGTTTAAGTGAGTGAGGCCCTGGAGTTGTAAAACTAGTTCTCTCTGTTTCCTTGCTAAAAGTGTGCGGGGGGGCTTCCTCCCCTCACCTTAAGTATGACACCTATCAAATTGGTTCCTGAATTAAACCCTAAACAGGAAGATTCAGAATTTAACATGCTCTTATAGTCTATGCTCTTATAGTCTAATGTTCTATGAAAGTTTTCTTAGACATCATCTTTTTTTTTTTAATCCTCACCTCACCTGAGGATATTTTTCCATTGATTTTTTTCAGATAGAGGGGCAGAGAGAGAGAGAGAAACATCCACGAGAGAGAGACACATCGATTGCTTGCCTCCCGCACGATCCTGACTAGGTACAGGGATCGAACCTGCAGCCGAGGTACGCGTCCTTGACCAGGAATTGAATCCAAGACTCTATGGTTCAAAGGCGGACGCTCTAACCACTGAGCAAAACTGGCCAAGGCTAGGTGTCATCCTTTCTTAGGGGCTGAATTGTATCCCCCAAAATTCAAATGTTGAAGTCCTAACCCCCCCACCCCCCATCATATTGTAATCCCATTTGGAGATAAGGTTTTTAAAGAGATGATGAGCTTAAAATGAGGTTGTTGGGGGAACCTAATCCAGTATTCCTTTGTCCATATAAGAGGAGGAAGAAACAGCAGGGCATTTGTGCACAAAGGGGTGAACTGTGGGAGGAGGCAGCAAGAGGGTGGCCAGCTGCAAGCCAAGGAGAGAGGCCTCGGAGGAAACCAACCCCGCCAACATCTAATCTTGGACTTCCAGCTTCCAGAACTGTGACAAAATTAATTTCAGTTGCCGAAGCCACCCCGTCTGGCGTTTTGTCATGGCATGCGTAGCAAAGCAGCTCTCCTTTTTGTAATCACTCAACCTTCAGAAAGTGAGATGTCTTATCCGTAATAGAAGAAACCGAGTTCCACCTCAAAGAAAACGAAAACTATCAAGTATTTCATTTTCTGAAAACCCTCCATGTCACTGAATTTCAAAAAGGGGTGTGACATCACTTGAGTTTATTTTATTTTTTAAAATATGCTTTCATTGATTTTCTAGAGAGAGAGCTAGAAACACCAATGTGAGGGAGAAACATTGACTGGCTGCCTCCTGCACAGCCCCTACTGGGCATGTGCCCCAATTGGGAACCGAACTGGGACCTCTCAGTCCTTGGGACTGATACTCGATCCATGAGCCACACGGGCCAGGCACTTGACTTTATTTTAAAATGCGCATGTCAGATTCTCATGTGCAGCTTTGTGTAAGGACTGCTGCTGTATAGGAATATAGGAGTAACACCTTGCTTATGTCTTCTGAGATGTAAAAAATAAATAGCCCTGGCCGGTTTGGCTCAGCGGTTAGAGCGTTGGCCCGCGGACCAGGGAGGCCTGGGTTCAGTTCCCGCTAAGGGCACGTACCTCGGTCGCAGTTTGTCCCCAGCCCGGTTGGGGTCATGTGGGAAGCAACCAGTCGATGTGTCTCTCAAATCGATGTTTCTCTTTCTCTCCCCCCTTCCCTCCCACTCTGAGGATAAATGCAAAAAACAGTCCTCGGGTGAGGATAGAAATAAATAAATAAATAAATAAATAAATAAATAAATAAGTAAGTAAGTAAGTAAGTAAGTAAGTAAGTAAATGAAAGATTAATCTAGCCAATACATTAATCAAAAAGAAAAAAGTAGCTGAACATTTAGGATCTTTCTTCCCAGTGTGTCATCAGCTTGGCTCAAGTAAACTCTCATAAAATACTCAAAAAGCCCTGGCCAGTGTGGTTCAGTTGGTTGGGCGTCCTCCTAACCGGAAGGTTGCGGGTTCAATTCCCAGTCTGGGCACATGCCCACGGTTTAGGCTTGATCCCAGGTACAGGGCATACAGGAAGGAGGCAGCCAATCATTGTTTCTCCCTCTCCCTGTCCCTTTCTTAAAATCAATAAAAACACATTTTTTTTAAAGTATACATATTTGAAAGGAAGAGACTAAACTCCCCAGTTAAAGACAAAGTAATTGTCTACTTTGAAAATCCTAGTGAACCCTGTTAGAAATAATAATTCATTAAGGTGACCAGAAACAAGATTGACGCCCAAAAGTCTGATATGCCAGCAGAAGTGAATTGTAAAATGCAGTAGAAAAAGAGTTCTGCTCACAGTAACAACCAGAAAAAACTTAAACACTAGGAGGAATTTTAAGCCCTTGAGTTTGAAGGAGATAAGGCATATGTAAATGTGAGAATGTATGTAACACAAGCTCTGTTGAAATATGTGTCCAGCCACTGTTCTAGCCATTTGAGTGTATCAGTTAAGAAAACTCAAAAATCCACCCTGGCAGGTTTGGCTCAGCAGTAGATCATGGCCCACGGAACAATGAGTCACAGGTTCAATTCCAGCCAAAGGGCAGTACCTCAGTTGCAGTTCATCCCCGGCCCTGGTTGGGGTCCTGTGGGAGGCAACTAGTTGATGTATCCCTCTCACATCAATGTTTCCCTCTCTCTCTCCCCCACTCTGTCTGAAGATAAATGGAAGAATATCCTTGGGTGATGATTAAAAAAAAAAAATCCCTGTCCTGGTGGGTGCTGGGGTTGGGGTGGTCCGAGAAAGGAAAGTTGGAAGAAGTAGTAGGACTTGAGCTGCGCCAGAGGTTCAATGGAATTCCAAGAAAGAAAGGATACGAGAGAGCGTCCACCTTGGTGAAGCCTACAGCCAGAGCAGATAACGAAGGGAACAGTGAGTGGACCGATCCGGCCTGAACAGTGCTTGGTAAGAGTTAAGGGGTAGTAGGGGACAGGGTCTGAAAGCAAGTTAGA